TAAAAATTTGGCCAAGTGTGGTGGCTCATGTCTGTAATCCTGGCACTTTGAAAGAATGAGATGAGAATGGTGCTTGAGCCCAGGGCTTTGACACCAGCCAGGGCAACATAGCAAGACCTTGACTCTAAAATAAAAAAGTAAAAATCCAAAAATTAATTAGCCAGACCTGGTGGTGCACACCTGTAGTCCTAGCTACTTGAGAGGCTATAGTGGAAGGACTGCCTGAGCCTAGGAGGTCAAGGCTGCAGTGAGCCGTGATTGTGCCACTGTACCACAGCCCGGGTGACAGAGTGAAATCCCAACTAAAACAATAAAAATAAAAATAAATTGTTGAGACTTGTTTTGTAACCTAACATATGGTTTATTCTAGAGAACGTACTATGTTCTGATGAAAAGACTGTATATAGCTGGGCTCGGTGACTCAGCCTGTCATCCCACGCCTTGGGAGGCTGAGGTGAGTGGATTGCCTGAGCCCGCAGGTTCGATACCTGCCTGGACAACTTGGTGAGACCTCATCTCTACAATAAATAAAAAAAAAAAATTAGCCGGGTGTGGTAGCGCACACTGGTAGTTCCAGCTACTTGGAAGGCTGGGGTGAAAGTATCGCTGGAGCCCAGCAGGTCAAGGCTGCAGTGGCCAGGAGCGGCCACTGCACTCCAGCCTGGGCTACAGAGTGAGACTCCAACTCAAAAAAAAAAAAAAACTGTATATACTGGCAGGGTGCAGTGGCTCACTTTCATTCCAGCATTTTGGGAGGCTGAGGCAGGATGATTGCTTGAGGCTAGGAGTTTGAGACTAGCCTGGGAAACAAAGCGAAACCCCATCTCTACAAAAAAATAGAAAAATTAGCTAGGCATGGTGGTGCATGGTTGTAATTTCCAGTTAGCTACTCAAGAACCTGAGACAGAAAGATCACTTGAACTAGTGGCTTCAGCGAGTTAGTGACTTCAGTGAGTTAGTGGCTTCAGTGAGCTGTGATCATGCCATTGCACTTCAGCCTAGGCGGCAGGGTGAGACACCCAATTAAAAGAAACAACAGGAAAAAAATGTAATTTCTGCAATTGTTAGATAGAATATTCTGTAAATGTTTGTTAGTTCCACCTGAGTTCTGTACATTTTTAATATGTGCAAAATGAAAAAAAATTATGTAATCTCCAAATCTGTGCCTTTTGGCTCTATACTGGGACACTATTTTAGTGCCTAACCAGATCTTTTGCAACCCTGCCTTAGTCTTGTCCTCAGGCTAAAGATCAGCCAGAGGTTGAAAACTTATGGTCGTCTCTGATCTTTTTTTTTTTTGAGTTGGAGTCTCACTCTGTTGCCCAGACTGGAGTGCAGTAGCCGTTCCCGGCCACTGCAGCCTCGACCTTCTGGGCTCCGGCGATCCTTCCGCCTCAGCCTTCCAAGTAGCCAGAATTACAGTCATGCGCTACCACGCCCGGCTAATTTTTTGATTTATTGTAGAGATCAGGTCTCGCCAAGTTGGCCAGGTGGGTCTCGAACCCGCGGGCTCAGGCAATTCACTCACCTCAGCCTCCCAAAGCGCGGGATTACAGGCTGAGCCACCGAGCCCGGCTCTTCTCTGATCTTTTTGATCATGATCCTGCCCTGGACATTCATGTGGCTTGTAGTTCCTGGGTATATGAGGGAGGACCCCCCGCCCAACAGAAAGGGAATACTTTTTGGAGGGTGGGCCTCCTGTGGTACAGGCTTCCCCTGATAGATAAGTATTCTAGGAACCCATCAGCATCAGTGTGCCAGCTCATATTGTGAGAGGCTGCATTCAGTTCAGTGAAATTTTTTTGGAGATTCTTTTAACATGTTTGCCCATTTCATGATAGGTGATTTATGTGAACAACCTGCCCACACTGCGCTGAGTGTTTAGCAGTTTTTGACCAAAAATAGCCTGACCTCCATGCCCCAATCCCTATTCACCCAAACTTGCCCAAGCAACTTTTTTTTTGTTTCTCCAGATGAAGAAAGTCCTCAAAGGGTAACATTTTACCGACGTGGAAAAGATGTAACAAAAAAGGCAGGAGAACTAAAAGGCCTCAAAATTGATTAGTTCAAAAACTGTTTTGAGCAGTGGAAAACGCGTCTCAATAGGTGTATTGCATTTAACGGAGAGTACTTACAAGGTGACTAAGATTAAAACATGTAAGAATAAATATACAAGTTTTTATAAATAAATTCCAGGGTTTTTTTTTTTTTTTTTTTTTACCTCCCCCCTCCTTTGTTTTTCAGTTCTTTTCCAAGTCCTCACTCCCCCAAAATTTTCTATCTTTTCCATTCTTGGCTTTTGGCGCATCTGTTGTTTGTCCCAACTGTTATTTTGCCCTGCATAGCTGTGACTTGTTTATTTGCCTTTCATTATTTTTTTATAAATATCCTCCATGTAGCTACATCTTCACCGCGAGAAAGTTCTGACTCAGGTCAAACACAGTCAGGCCCCTTGAAGTTCCTCAGGGAACTGACAAGTCAAAACAATTCCTTGGGAACAGGGTCTCTTTTAACATGGGGCTAAAATCAAAACAAGACGAGCACAATTTGGGGGGAACAAGGTCCCTTTCACTGTTGTCAGGATCACGTTCTCATACCGGCGAAGGGGCAAACTGTCTTGAAGAGCGCTGCTGTGGCCAGGGAGGGAGTGGTGCAAGAGGAAGTTAAAAATTATAAACCTATCCTACCCTGTTTCAATTATTTTTCTTGGTTAACTGCTTGGTGGTTGTAAACTTTTTACTCTCTTCCCAAGTTCCAGTAAGGGTGATTCTAACAGGTTTTCAGTGTTTCTCAGACATGATGACCCCTACTGCTTTCTACTTTGCCATTTTTGTTGTTGCCTCTATCAATGCAGTTTTATTCAAAAGCATTTCCTGGCCCACTTTAATCTGTAGTTCAAATGTGCTGTTTTGGTTTGTCCCACTCATGTACTATCCCAAGGCTGATAGGAATTCTAGACAGTATTGTATATCGTAGTTCGTTTCTCAGTATTTTTGCATTGTGTATTTTGGTTAGTTGTATATATGGGCCATTTAGTAGTGATCCCAGGACTTCATAAACAGCTGTAAAGGATGCCTTTCTGCAACAGTTTCCTCCTCTCTGGTTTTCCTTCTTTTCTTCTGAAAATTGCATAGGGTAGGGTTTAGAAAGTTGGTCGAGCATCCCATTGTGTTTGCAGCAGCCATGCTGGAGGAGAATAGGAATGACACTCCTTCTTTGTTCATGTTTGCTTGGTGTCAGTTTGGGCGAGCTGACAAAGCTTCCTTCCTCCATCTTTCCAGTAGCAGCAGCATCTGATTGGGAGGCGAGGGCACTGCTTTGCCTACTTTTGCTTATTGCTGGCAGTGCCACTTGGCAGGCTTCACATCCCAGTCTCTGTGGCAAAAGTTCCTGATTGGGAGTGAAAGGATACAGCTCCTCTTTCCCATTAGGGTTCCCTTCTGCAGAGCCTCCTTCTTCTCAGCTCGTATGATCGCCACTGACTAGAGGCAGTAGTTTTTTCCTGGACCTTTTTTCTTTAATGTACCCCTTGCTAATTCTGGTTGCAGATGCTCTAGCATCCAGACTGGGATATACAAGAGACAAAAATAAACCCCAAGGAATTCATCTCCAGGTCCTCCCTTGATTTCTGAAGACTTGAATAGAAGGCTTTCTTCTATTCACATTTCACAGTTTCTGATGTTTGCTTTATGTGTGTGTCCATGGTTTTAAATTGCAGTTAATGGGAGCTTTGGGGTGGAATATGCTTACTCTAATGTGAACAGAGGAAGAACTCAACTCTCACAATCATTTATTGAATGAATGATTAAATGATACCTAGTTCTTATAGTGCATGTGACTGGCAGTGTTAAATAGGTGTAATATTAACAGAATTATGATAATTCCTGTGGGAGCTCATAGGCAAAGGAAGGAGATTATCTCTAGCTATTAGGGAACAGGATATGTAGTGTGGTAGTAAGGTCTTTGTTCTGACAATGGTTCTATGACACCAACTGAATGTCCTGCAATTCAGTTCAGTTTTTCACACTAACAGACCCCACAGGTTATAGGTGGAGTTCTCCAAAAGACTGTCTCTGCTTCAGATACCAGCTACAAGTATCAAGGTCCGCCTGTACTTATGACCAGCCGGCACAACCCCTTCAGGCTCAGTAATTCACTAGAACCACTCAAAGAATGACTGAAAACACCACATTAAATTGCCGCTTTATTATGAAGGATACAACACAGAGCCAAATGCAAGCAATGTATAAACCAAGGTGTAGGGGTGGAGGAGACACAGAGATTTCTTGTGGATTCCAGGCTCATTACCTTCCCAGCTCATCAGTGTATTCACCAACCAGGAGGCTCTGCTGAGCTCTGGTGTCTAGAGTTTTTATTGGAGCTTCGTTATGTGGGCAAGATGGATGAAAACATTGGCCATGCGATTAAACTCAATCTCCATAACCGCTATTATCCTCCTGAGTATCTTGCTAGCCCAGAATTCTAATCTTCTAATGATGTGGTTGGTCTTCCTAGTGAACAGTCCCCAGCCTGCAGGTATCTATGAGACTGTGCCACTATCTATGCAACTATGAGACATCTCATCAGCTTAATATAAAGACTTTCCTATCTCTCAGGAAGTTCCAAGGGTTTTGTGGCTCTGTGCCAGAAACCGGCACATACATATTCTGTATTATACCACAGACATCAAGTAAGATTTAAAGAAGAATGTGGTACTTGAGTGATTGGAATGTTGGGAGGATTTTAATATTTGAAAATAAGGAAAAGGGCACTTCAGGTGGAGAAAGTAACAGTAGCAATCAGTGTTGGCATTCTCGCAGGGGTGGATACATATGGAAGTGCAGGGTTCAGTATATAGAGCTATATAAAGTACTTTTTAAGTTTTAATGTAAGCTATATGGAAAGGAAAAATAAGAAATAAAGCTAGATTGGTTTAAAAATGGCATTGAATGATGACATTTAATGATATTTATTAATCATAAAATCTCTTATTCTTGCAGAGCAGAAGAAAAAAGAGATCTGTTCATGTTTTTTCGAAGCCTACATTTTTTTGTGAAGTGGTTTGAATACCGTAAGCGCACATTTAAACATTTCAAGGTACAGTCTAAAATATTTGAATTTAAACATATATGGAAAATGAAGCTGGTATTAATTTGGAGATTGAACCATGCATTCTTTTCTTAAAGTATTCAAGCAGTAGAAAATATTTTCAGTGGCTTCTGGTATTTGCAATTATTTGGATTAAGTGGAGGAGATTACTTCCGTAATAGGTAAATAATGTATATTGTGGAATATCTTGAGAGAAGAGTGGTTATATTCTAATTTATTTTAAAATGCACATTTTGACTGGGCAGGGTGGCTCATGCTTATGATCCCAGTACTTTGGGAAGCTGAAATGGGGAGATTGCTTGAGCTCAGAAGTTCGAGACCAGCCTGAGTAACATAGCGAGACCTTGTCTCTACAAAAAATCATAAAACTAGCCAGGCATGGTACTGTAGTCTCAGCTACTCTAAAAGCTGAGGTAGAAGGATCACTGAGCCCAGGAGATCGAGACTATGGTGAACCGTGATCTTGCTGCTGCATTCCTGCCTGGGTGATGGAATGAGACCCTGACTCAAAAAAAAAAGCACATTTTGAAAAATTGATCTTTCAAGGGTATTTTAAGTAAAACAGTACATGTAAATAAAGAATATAATCATAGCAGGCTTATCATATAGCAGTGTAAGCTTAACTTTCTGAAGCAGACTCTGTATTTTTAGCTTTTTAATTGCTGTATATAGCAAGCCTAAATATTGAAGCCTGACTCTTGTGAAGTAATGCTTTTTAAATATGATATGCATGCTTTAAGATACTTTTTTTATTCCTTTTGTTTGTTTTTGCTCATGACTAGAATTATGTTTGGCTGTATTGTACATTGTCGAGTTCTGCTCAGTTGCATAGCACCAAATTGTTGACAGCATTGATCCACATAAAAACCAGTTCCGAAAGAGTCGACATAAATATTATTTCAAGGTTCAGATTCCCTCAAAAACTTAACCAGATTTTGACAATTGTTTTTAGGACTGGTGCTAACTCTCCTGTATTTTAGCTTCTATTCTTTAAAATTATTATTACATTCATACTGTTTGGTTACGCTGATAAAATCTGTCAGGCCTACAGCTTTCTCCATAAGGAAACACAGGCATTTCCTGCACTACAGCCCCTTGAGGAGTTCTCATGATTTTGTCATATTTTTTTTAATCATAGGTAGTCTTGTACCAGAACCATTAAATCTTTCTGCTTTACAAAGATATTTCTCTGGTAAAAGACAATAATGATTGAGGCATTTGCTGGCAGTTACGGTAATGAATGAAGCACCTAATATTGCTGTTTGCTTATGCATTTGAATGGGTGGTGGAGAGTGGGTACTCCAGTCCCATTTCCAATGCTGATTTGACTTTGGGTGCTTTCTAGGCAAATGTAAAAGTGTATTTGGTGTGTTTTTCCTATGAAGCACCGACTGCTCCTGTGAGCTGGTTTTTGCTGGTTACTAGGATGGGAAAAAAAACAGTCGCATTGTTTGGTAACCGTCACCACGATTCTTCTCCAGACTGAAACATCCCAAACTGAAACATACCCGTTAAACACTTACTCCTCATTCCCTTCATTCCCTTCTTCCCCTGGTACCATTATTTTCTATTTTTATGAATTTAGCTGTTCTAACTACTTCATACAAGTAGAGTATCTTTTTTGTCTGGTTTATTACACTTAGAATAGTGTCCTCAAGGTCTATACATGTAGCATGTATCAGATTTCCTTTTTTTTTTTTTTAAGGCTGACTAATATTCCATTGTAAGTAGATACCTTTTGTTTATCCATTCATCTTTTGGTGGATGCTTGGGTCGTTTCCACTTTTGGCTATTGTGAATAATGCTTCTGGGAACATTGGTGTGCAGATATGTGTGTATGTTCTTGCTTTCTATTCTTTGCAGTACAATGGTATACCTGGTAATGGATATTGCCAGATTCTGTGTTTAATTTTTTGAAGAATTGCGTACTCTTTTCCATAGCACTTGCACCGTTTTACGTTCCTACCAGCAAAGCACAAGGATTTCAGTTTTTTAGCAACCACTTCAGTACTTGTTGTTTTCTGTTTTGCTTGTCTTTTTGGCAATAACTAACCTAATGGGTATGACATGATAGCTCATTGTGGTTTTGATTTACATCTTCCCAGTGATTAGAGATGTTGAGCACATTTTCTTTTTTTTCTTTTCTTTTTTTTTTTTTGAGTTGGAGTCTCACTCTGTTGCCCAAACTGGAGTGCAGTGGCACACTCTCAGCCACTGCAGCCTTGACCTGCTGGGCTCCGGTGATCCTTCTGCCTTTGCCTTCCAAGGAGCTGGAACTACAGACATGCACTACCACGCCCGACTAATTTTTTATTTATTGTAGAGATGAGGTCTCACCAAGTTGCCTGGGTGGGTCTCGAACCTGTGGGCTCAGGCAATTCACTCGCCTTGGCCTCCCAAAGTGTTGAGATTACAGGCTGAGCCGCTGAGCTCGGCCATGATCACATTTTCATGTGCTGATTGGTCATTTGTATAACTTTAGAGAAATGTCTATCTAAGTTTTTTGCCCGTTTTTTTAATTTAAATTTTTTATTTTTGATTTAGTGTCTCACTCTGTCATCCAGACTGGAGTGCAGAGGCATAATCATGGCTCACTGCAGCCTCAGCCTCCTGCACCCAGTCGATTCTTCCACCTCAGCCTACTGAGTTGCTGGGACTACAGGTGTGTGCCATGATGCCTGGCTAATCTCTTTTTTTTTTTTAGTTGGAGTCTCACTCTGTCGCCCAGACTGGAGTGCAGTGGCCACTCCTGGCCACCACAGCCTCGACCTGCTGGGCTCTGGTGATCCTTTTGCCTCAGCCTTCCTAGTAGCCGGAATTACAGGTGTGCACTACCACGCCCGGCTGATTTTTTTAATTTATTGTAGAGATGAGGTCTCGCCTGCGCAGGTGGGTCTTGAACCCGCGGGCTCAGGCAATCCACTCACCTCAGCCTCCCAAAGGTGCGGGATTACAGGCTGAGCCACCGAACCCGGCTTGGCTAATTTCTTATAGAGACGAGGTCTTGCTGTGTTGCCCAGTCTGGTTTTGAACTCTGGGTCTTCCTCTCAGTCTCCCAAAGTGTTGGAATTACAGGCAGGAGCCACTGAACCTGCCTTGACCATTTTTAAATTGAATTGTTTTTGTTGTTGAATTGTAGGAGTTCTTTATATAGTCTAGATACTAATTTCTTATCAAATATATGATTTGCAAATATTTTCTCTGGGTTGTCTTTTCATTCTCTTGATTTTGATGCATAAAAGTTTTTAAAACTAATTTTTAAATGACTCCTAATGTGTGTATTCATGGAATATATCATGATGCTTGCATAATACAATGTGTAGTGATAAGATCATAGTAATTAGCATATCCATCATCTCTCCATCATCATATCCAGTACCTTCTTTATAGCTATTTGAAACATATTTTTAACTATAGTCATTCTACAGAGGTATAGAGCTCTAGAATTTATTCCTCCTATCTAGCTGTACTTTTTTATCCTTTAACAAATTTCTCTGAAAAGTTTTTAATTTTGGTGGTCTGGTTTATTTTTTTCTTTGTTACCTGTGCTTTGGTGTCATATCTAAGATGTTCAGTGTTAAATTCAATGTCATAAAGATTTTTGTCCACGTTTTCCTCTGAGAATTTTATAGTTTAGCTCTTACGTTTAGGCCTTTTATCTATTTTGAGTTAGTTTTTGTATATGATGTAAGGTAAGAGTTCAACTTCTTTCTTTTACAAGTTGATATCCACCTTTTCCAAAACAATTTGTTGAAGAGACTGTCCTTTCCCCTACTGAATGGTTTTCATACCCTTGTTGAAGATTATTTGACCATATATGCAAGCGTTTATTTTTAGACTGTTTAGTTTATTCCCTTGGTCTGTATTCTGTACTTACACTAGTACTATACTGTTTTGATTATTGTATCCTTGAAATAAGTTTTGAAATTAGGAAATGTGAACCTTTCGTCTTCCGTTTTTATTCTTATTTTTTAAATATAGAGTTTATTTCAAAGTGTGGGGTACAACTCAGGATGGGGTGCACAGGTGGACATCGTGCAGGTGAAGTTGGGCCTCCCTTTGGTCCTCACTTTGCCTGCTTTGAGCTCAGCTGCCCTTGTTGAGATTGTGCCTCCTCCCGCCCTCCACCACCCCACCCTGGTAACGTCCGCTACTGCCAGGCCCTTTCTTATAGTATTATGGTACGTGTTCGGGGATATCTTGTGTTTTTAAAGGTTTTGTTGTTGTTGTTTTGAGTCAGGGTCTTACTTTGTCGCCCAGGATGGCATGTAGTGGTATGATCATGGCTCACTACAGCTTCGACCTACTCGGCTCAGGTAATCTTTCTGCTTCAGCCTCCCGAGTAGCTGGGACTACAAGCACACAGTACCATGCCTGGCTAACTTTTTATTTTGTGTAGAGATGAGGTCTTCCTATGTTGCTCAGGCTGGTCTCGAACTCCTGGGCCCAAACAATCATTATCCCTCGGCCTCCCAAAGTGCTGGGATTAAAGGCGTGAGCCACTTTACCTGGCTTTTTTTTTTAAAGATTCTTATGCTTTATTGAGTCTCCATATAAATTTTAGGGTAGATTGTTTAATTTCAAAGTATCATAGTTACTTTGATGGCAATTATGTTTAGTCTGCATATTGTCTTGGATAGTATTGTTATCTTAATAATGTTAAATCTAATTCATGAACACAGAATGTCCTTTCATTTATGTATGTCTTCTTTAGTTTCTTTCGGTGGTGTTTGTAAGGCATAAATTATTTTTAATTTTAGACCTCTATTTCTTTATTAGTGTTAAGAATGATACATTATTTAATACAATGGAATCGGCATATTTTAACTTTCTGTAATTATTTCCCCTGGTACCTTATGGATCTTGGTGGTATAATTTGTATTGTTTATTTTATTTGCAAAATAAAGTTGTATATATATGTTTATATTTTCTTTTTATCTAGAAGTCCCCAAATTATTTTTTTATTCTATAATTTAGACTTTTTATCAATACTTTTTCTCTCCAATCATTTTTTTAATCTAAAACTACTGACTTTTAAATTTTTTAAAATTTGAGAGTTATATTCTTCTTGCTAAGCTTCATCATAAAACGAACATACAGAGCCAGGCACTGTGGCTCATGTGCTTTGGTAGGCCAAGACAGGAGGCTCGCTTGAGGCCAGGATTTCTAGACCAGTCCGGGAAACAGAGCAAGACCCTATCCCTACTTTAAGAAAACAAAACAAAACAAAACAAAACAAAAAAATTAGCCAGACGTGGTGGCACATGTCTGTAGGCCCAGCTACTTGGGAGGCTAAGGCAGGAGGATTGCTTGAGCCTAAGAGTTCAAGACTGCAGCGAGCTGTGACTGCACCATTTCACTGCAGCCTTGGCAACAGAGCAAGATCCTGACTCCAAAAACAAACAGAACAGCAAATACCCAAGAATACAGTGAATCCCCCGCATACAAATGAGTTCCATGTCAAGAGCATGTTCATAGCCCAATTTGTTCATACGTCCAACCAAGTTAGCCTAGGTACCCAACTAACACAATTAGCTATATAGTACTGTACTGTAATGGGCTATAATATTTTTCTCACAAGCAATATGTAAAAAACAAACAAACACAAAAAACAAAACATTTTTAATGTTACAATACATTTCCTCGAAAAGTATAGCAGTACAGTACAACAGCTGGCATACAGGAGCTAGCATCGAGTCAACATGCATATTTGTATCTTTGAAAGTTCACAATGTGAAAGTTCATTTGTAGGGGACTTACTGTATAGGAATACATTATTTTTCTGAAAACTAGAAACATGACAGATGTGTCCTCTGACCACTTTCCATAGTCTTGGTCTTTCCCAGGTATATATTTCCAGGTAAAGTTACAGTTTTTTTCTTATGGATTTATTTAAGATTTTGATAGTTTAAAGATTCAATTTTCCAAATGAAACAAACTTTTTATTTAGATGGATTTTATTTTGCAGTATTTATTGTATATTCAGTTTAAATGTGCCCACTATTGTGCTAGGCACTTTAAAAGCATAAAGTATAAAGCTGTGCTCAGTGCTCTCAGTGAGCTTTCAGTAACAGGGAAATGAAGCATGCACACACAATAATAAGAAAGCAGTATCATAGTTATGATCGGTAGTTACCAAAATAATAATCATTGTTAAAGTAATACTTTTGGTCTTAAGAGATTTCAGATACTTCAATGAAAATTTTTATCTTGGAATCAACCTTGACAAATGGAATGATTAAAAAACATATATAATATCATTCTTGGTAGGGGAAAAATAGAAGCAAATGCTTTTAAAAATGAGATAATTAGGTATTCTAGGTATAGTATACAGAGACAGCATGATTACAATGTATCATTTATAATAGAAATTATGTTGGTTCTCTTATATAAACAGTTCAGACTCATGTTTCTAAAACTGATTATTTTGTATTCAAAGCAATGTGTAGACTAAGACAAAATTTTGAGTGGGGTAAGGCAGGAGGAAAGTTATTTTAGGAACTTTAATCTGGCAGCATTGGGTCATCATAAATTATCACTATTCGATTTAAGATTAGATTCTCACCATTAACCATATCAGTTCATCATGAGTGTTTAGAAAATGTTACTCAGACGCTCTATTGTCAATATTCAGTTTGTTACATTGAACATGAGTGTATATGGGTGGGAAGGTGGTGTATAGTAACACCACAGAATAGTTTGTTTTCATTTCTTATGTTTGGACAAAGTCATTGATGAGATTCTCATTCTTATAATATAAAAAGAAATTTTTTGCAGTTATGTTTGAAAACCTTTACAATGGAGAACCTTATGGTTATCCTCTCAGAGATGAATAAGGTTTTGATTTTTTTTTTAAATAAGCCTACTGGCTTTGGCCTGCTTAACTTTTTTAGTCTTGATTCAAACTCAGAGTGAATACTTGGCATTTCTAAAATGTTTTATGGTAGACTTAGAATGTTAATATTTAGATAAAAGAAAATGTTTTACTATTTTAGTAAGCTTTGTGACCACAACACAGAATAACTTTTAACATTTCTATAATAGGTCTTTATCAGAGAGTAAAATTCTACTTTATTTGGAAAATTTTGCTTCAGTATGAGACTATACCCTGTTTCTCAGGCTAAGTGAAAATATAAAATAGCCTTGATAGGAAGAAAGCAAAGTTCCTACTTCATTAGCAATCATGTATGAATCATAAAAGAAAAATGGGAGATCACTGGAAATATTTAGCTTTTCAAAGTTTTTAGGACATCTGCCTTAAATGCTTTAGGGATACAGTAAAGGCCAGGAAAGACAGAGTTGAAAGTTTTTTGGACCTATCCTAATTACTAATTACTAATGATAATTAGTAATGTGATTAATGTACCTCAAATTTTGGTATCTATATAAAAACATGCCTTTTAAATGATAGTCTAGTATATACTGGAAGGGTTTTGTAATGTTGTTTAAATATTTTCACATTGTTTTTAACTTAGAGATTCAAGCTTTTTGCTTATTATATGTAAGATTTTTTTAAACATCCTTGCTTAAAACATCAGATTCCTTCATAATGAGATACAAAGTTAATATCAAACAATACTTAACGTTCCTTTAGACATTTTTGAGACAGATTATAAGTATATATGTAGTTTAGCTTTATGTTGTATTGATGCAGGTTAAATGTATGACCCTATGGGTAATCTTTTTAAGCAAATAAAACTGTTTGGATGCTTTCCCAGGATGATTGGATTGCCTTCAAGGCGTATCTCTTCAATGCGGTCCCGAATGTAACGGGTGTCATTAGCCTTGCAGAATGTATCATCTGTAATTGAAGTTATGTTGTTAAACTGAAAAATAAAAGTAAAAAATTGTTCAGAACTCTGAGATCAACCTTTCATATCCCATGTAGTGGGATCCCACAGAATACTTTATCTAAAAGGTGATTTTAACATTGTACATACTGTGACTCTTTGAGGCAATAAAACCCTCTGTGCAACCTGAGCTCCCTTTTTATGTCTACAGTATTATTTTAGAAGAACAGACGCCTTGCTATCACTTAGAGTGACATCCATGTAAAGCAAAGTTCTGAGTATAGCTAGGATTACATGAGCTTGAGAAAGTATTCTGTTTTAGAGAATGCTCACTCAAAATGGGTACTGTGCCTAAATATTCTCTAAAAAAGTAAAAAGAATAAATGGGAATTCTTGTGATACCAAGAAGTCAGTTTTAGTTTATTTTCATTCCCTCTTCACTTTTGCATTACTTCACGTCGATGTACTATAAAGTCAACTGGAAAGTCTCCAAAAGCAAATGTTTACCACTATTTGGAGAAGGAAACAGAAATCAGAGGTCTGAGTGCTCCCTCACTTCAAATCTGTGTGTCAGGTTAACTTGGAGTTGCAAAGTGTAGACCTGGAGACATCCCACTCAAGAACAGCCTGCATACCTACTATGCGGCACTCATTAGGCTCTGGACAGAACCTGGACTTCTGGACGAGAGAGTTAATTTGACTAATGATTAATGCTTTTGATAGGCATTTAACTACCACACAACGACAGTGATCTATCCAAAATTTACATGTGAATGAATGAGATTCCCAGTGAGTCATAAGATTTTGACCCACAAATAAATAAAGTTAGATATTATGAAAGGAACCCTCATAATCATACCTGAAGATGAATCACACGTAGACTTTCTGGTAAATTAAGAGGCACAGATTCCAAGGCATTGTGATCCAAGTAGAGGAAAGAGAGGTTACTCAATTTCTGTAAGTAAAATTTTGTTCCAATGTTATTGAGGTCTTTCACAGGATTCAAGCAATATGTATGTGTTTATATATTACATGTTATATGCATATATATATATAGAGAGAGAGACTTTGTATATTGATATAAGCATGTATGAGTAGTATCCACCATTTTAGTATGATAGTTTGTTTTGGGTCTTTTTTCCCCTTGCTTCATGAGTAGTGTATTTTGGTTCTTTATGACAGCCAGTAGAGCTGTGCAGCATACCCCACATTTCTGTCCATTCATCTGATCTATGAATACCCAGCCCTCATGCCAACTTTTGGGGCCCTTTAGATTTGCCTTGGAAGCAGCTATGTGGTCAGTCCCTATGAGGGATTGAATTTGGATTCAGGTGTTACCCTAATCTCTCCGGCACCTCCAGAGCTTTCCATCTCAACTCCACCAGTTTCTAGCAAAGTAGTTATTCCCCAAAGCAATTTATTAAACATCTAGCTTGATCTGAGTTTTTCCTAAGGGCTTTTTGTTGGATTACTTCGTGATTAGTAACCCTTATTATGTATAATTATATACTATGATTTCAGGAGGCAGTTTCCCTTGACATTACTCTTTTACCTTACCTTTGATATCCATGCTGTCCCAGATTTTGCTGGTTCTTGTGTTATTTTAATCCTTTCTTAAGTACCCTACCACTCCACCATATGGGCCCTTATCTTCCCAGTGGGCTTATTCACTTGGGTTGACTTAACCTAATTTACCTATTGCAGCACAGTGCCATTAAACAGAACTACACAGTGACTGACCTTATTGTTTTCATACCAACTTGTCATGAATCCCTTCTATAATACATGTATAAGACCCAAAATGTTCAAACATTCTTTTTGTGACATGCTGATCAGCTCTTATAGGTCTTTATCATGTTTGTTATTAAAAGACTGACCACCTCAATATTTTCACGTTACAAACTTTCTTTATAGAAGTGAGTCTGGCTTTAAAAAGTCCCCTAAGAGTTTCTTAACTTCTGAGTCCCTTATAAGTGCATTAGAGGAACTCTGATGTAACTTTTAAAAATCCCATAAAGTTATAAAAGGATACCTTAAAAGTAAACAAAAAGAGACTGGGTGTGCTGGCTCATGCCTGTAATCACAGCATTTTGGGAGGCCGAGGTGAGAGGATTGCTTGAGCCCAGGAGTTCGAGACCAGCCTAGGCAACATAGTGAGACCTCGTCTGTACAAAAAATAAAAAAATTAGCCGAGTGTGGTGGCATGTACCTGTAGTCCCCGCTACTAGAGAAGCTAAAGCAGAAGGATCTCTTAACCCCAGGAGGTCGAGGCTATGTTAAGCTGTGATTGTGGCACTGGACTTCAGCCTGGACGACAGAGTGAGACTCCGACTCAAAGAAAAAAGAAAAATTTTTCTTTTCGTTTTGTTTTTTTGTGTCAGAGTCCCACTCTGTCGCCCAGGCTAGAGTGCAGTGGCACACTCACAGCCACCGCAGCCTCGCCTGCTGGGCTCAGGTGATCCTTCCACCTCAGCCTTCCAAGTAACTGGAACTACAGGCACTCTTCTTATATTTTCTAACAGACTGTTTGTTTTTCTTAAATTTTAAAATAGAAATGAGTGACTGGGCTCGGTGGCTCAGCCTGTAATCCCAGAACTTTGGGAGGTCGAGGTGAATGGATTGTCTGAGCCTGTGGGTTTGAGACCAACCCGGGCAACTTGGTGAGGCCTCGTCTCTACAGTAAATGATTAAAAAAAAAAAATTACCCAGACTTGGTAGCTCATGCCTGTAGTTCCTGCTCCTTAGAAGCCTGAGGCGGAAGGATCGATGGAGCCTAGTGGGTTGATGCTGGGGTGGCCGTAAGGGTGCCACTGCACTCCAGCCTGGGCAACAGAGTGAGACTCTGCCTCAAAAATAAAAATGAAAAAAACTAAATAGAGATGAGGTCTTGCCATGTTGCCCAGGCTGGCCTCGAACTCCTGGGCTCTAGAAACCCTCTCGCCTCAGCCTCCGAAAGTGCTGGGATGATAGGCATGAGCCACCACGCCTGACCAAACTACACATTTTAGGACAGATTATATTTTTGTGTGATTGTCATAATCCTGATGATAATGAATATTTGATATTTTAGGTCCTTCTGTTAGGAGTTATCTTTTTTATTTTCTTTTTGAGTCATGGTCTCACTCTCTCTCAGGCTGAAGTGCAGTGGCACCATCATGGCTCACCACAGCCTCCACCTGCTGGGCTCAGGTGATCGATCCTCTTGCTTCAGGCTTCTGAATAGTTGGGACTACAGGCGCACACAGCCACGCTTGACTAATTATTTTTATTTTTTGCAGAGATGAGGTATTGCCCAGGCTGGTTGAACCTGTGAGCTCATGCATTCCTCTTCTCTCTGCCTCCCAAAGTGCTGGGATTACAGGCATGAGCCACTGTGGCCGGCCTTGTATTACTAAACTAAGAAATGTATTTAATTTTTATTACAGAATTTTATATTAGGTGTCATCATGGAATTCAAAAGAAAATCTTTGTGTAGAATTTTAGGAACTTCCTTTTTCTGACATTTGTAAATTGCTAATACTGTAAGGAAAAAGAGACACAGAAAAAAGTATCATTTTGAGTTTTTATAAACTGTAAGTGACATGAGGGAGCCAACCAGGTCTGTCTAAACAAATATTTGCTGTGTGAATGAGGCTGAAGGGGCCCAATAGGATGGCTGTTTATTATGTAAATAATGCCTTTATTAAATTGAAATAGCTTTAAAATGTAATCAAAACAGAATTCTAGAACAATGTTTCTCTTTTATCATATTATCACTCATACTGTGTTTAGGTTTACTGCAAAATACAAAATACTTACTTTGAATGCATTTGCTTTGATTCCTCTGCTCTTGATTTTGTTGTGTTTTGCATTAAATAAAGTGAGCTTGGGTGGAAGAACTGGAAGTTTTAGTAGTCGATTTTCAGCAAGTGAAAGTTCTTCTAATAGAGAAAGTTTGGAAAAAGTACCATCTTCTATGTCTTGTATCAAATTTCCCGTAAAATCAAGTCTTCTTAAGTTAGCTTGAGAGGAAAAATATACCAAAAAAATATGAAGTTAAATTCTCATTGTGTAGAGTGAAGAAAATCATTTGTTTAACAGATGACTCAAACATCTTTTAAAAAAATGCCTAGTAAAGTTTCTCCAATTAGTGGCTCAGAAACGTTTTGTTGAATGCACACTGAGTGTCTATCTGGACCTGTTAATTATGCCCTTTCTAACTGGATTCCTAGAATCTCAGGTTTGGAAGGGACCGAATTGCCCAAGCTCACGGGTTCGAGACCAGCCTGGGCAACATGGCGAGATGTTGTCTCTTCAATAAATCAAAAAATTAGCTGGGCATGGTGGCACACGCCTGTAGTTCCAGCTACTTGGAAGGCTGAGGCAGGATAGCTTGAGCCCAGCAGGTCGAAGCTCCCATGACCGCGAGCGTGCCACTGCATTCCAGCCTGGGTGACAGTGAGACTCCGACCCAAAAAAAAAAGAGTCTTCCCAAATCTTTTCTGTTTGAATTCCTCAGGATGCATAGGCAGTTGGAAAGAGATTCTTATTGCAAGTCATGGAAAGTAAACATTACATTTGATTGAATCGAATCATGTAATATTTTTGGATGTTTTGCCAGCATCTTGCATTGTAATTATGAACATGTTATCTTAATTTTAATCTCTCTATGCCTTATTGCTTAACAAAAACAAAGACAAAAATTTTTGTTCCTGAGATGTTAAAGTGATACAGACTAAGAGAGAAAGAAATTCAGTATATGTGTGTGTATTGGTTTTGCCTGGGATGATTAGGGAATACAGTTGCTTCTCATTCGCAGTAGTCATGTTCTACAAAATTGCCACAAGTGCTAGATTAGTGAATACTGAGCCATTATTCCTGGGGGAAATACAGAGTTAGGTTTCTGTAAGCCTCTGGTCACACATTTTCATCAACCAGTTAGTATATAACTTTGTTTTGTGTGTGTGTGTGTGTGTGTGTGTGTGTGTGTGTATGTGTATTTTGTTGTTTGCTTAAAGATGCTTTATTTGATATATATTGTTAGTTCATTGACATTGCACTTTAATTCGTGTCTGAATGAAGCTTAACTCACACAAATATTTTCTCTGTAAGGCACACCACAGCCTTCGTGCATTAGGAGCATTAGACAGCACTTTGGTACTATGTTTGTGGTCTTTTTAAACAGTAAAATTGTCAGCAAAGGTCATAAAAATGTGACAAACATGGCACTAATAGACTGTGTATAGGGTACTTACTTACAGTATGAGAGCTAAAACCAGAAGACAGTGTCACCTTGTCCAACCTCAACTGCAAACATGCATGTCAGGTAACTCGAATTTTTTGCTACTCTGCACACTCCTGAGAGTGACCATGAACATACCATGTGTATTTATTTTAGCAATCTTAGCAAGTAGGTTAATTTACAAATATGGAATTTATAAATAATGAGGATCAATTATACTTCAGTTCACTTTTGAGAGCTACCAGTAGCATGAATTCAGTTATGGCTAATCTCATATATTTGTAGGAAAGCCTATGTGTATTTCTTGGTGTGATTTTCTCTAGAAGCACCTGACAACATAGTAGTCTAGAAAATTGACAAGAAAGTAGTGGCCTGGGATTGGGGTTTGGTACTGCAGAAATGGGGGATTCTGATGTGTTCATGGTACCACCCTAGTTGGGTTAAGGTTTGATAGAAGTACGAGGTTGTAGGCCGGGCTCAGTGGCTCAGCCTATAATCTCAACACTTTGGGAGGCCAAGGTGAGTTCGAGGCCAGTCCTGGCAACTTGGTGAGAACTCGTCTCTACAGTAAATCAAAAAAATCAGCCGAATGTGGTAGCATGCACCTGTAGTTCCAGCTACTTGGAAGGCTAAGGTGGAAGGATCGCCAGAGCCCAGCAAGCTGACATTGGGGTGGCCATGAGTGTGCCACTGCACTCTAGCCTGAGCAACTGAGTGAGATTCCAATTAAAAAAAAAAAAAGTACAAGATTGTTCATGACTTGGGAAGGAGTTATATGACACTTTTCTCAACACTGTTTCCATATTAGAATATCCAGAGAGTTTGGTTGTTTTTAATGATGTTGCCTGGGCCTTACCCCAGACATGAATTAGAACATCTGGGAAATAGGACTTGGTATTAGTATTGTTAAAACACTTTTCTAGATTTTTTTTTTTTTTTTAAGTAGGAGTCTCACTCTGTCACCCAGGCTGAAGTGCAGTGGCAAGCTTACGGCCACCAAAGCTTCTACCTGCTGTGTTCAAGTGATCCTTCCACCTCAGCCTTCCCAGTAGCTGGAATTACAGGCGTGCACCACTACGCCTGGCTAGGTTTTGTAGAGACAAGGTCTCACCAAGTTGCTTAGTAACCTGTGGGCTTAGGCAGTTTTCTTGCTTCCACCTCCCAAAATGCTGGGATTACAGGCATGAGCCACCGCACCTGGCCTCCTAGATATTTTTAATATGCAGTCATGAGTACAGGTAAGAAAATGCAGTTTCTGTGCTTTTAGAGTAAAGACGGAAAATAAAACACTGTGGTTAGAGAAGCAGCCCAGTTATATTGGTGCTGCTTACTGTCAGAGGTTGAAGGTTTGGGGTTGAGAAGATGTAGTTGCCCATATATTAGACTGGCTGTCAGCATGGACACTAAAGTCGCTAGTAAAGAAACATCACAGATGTGTCTGAATGGAAAGGGTTTTTGTGAAGCGTGGTAGATACTTACATACTTCAACATTGACAACCCTAGACATGATAAGCTGCAAAAAGCAACTAGATAGAGAGTTTTGTTTATATTAGTGAAATGCTAACATGAGTTAATACTAGTACCTTATTTCAACTTAACTTACGTATGTCTGCAAAATCGTTGGCAGTTAGCTTTTTAATTTTGTTGAATCGTGCGTAAAGATAGGCTGATTCCTTTGGCAAGGGTGGTACAGCTTCAATGTCGACTTCTTCGCAGTATACAGAGCCACTTAAACAAACACACAGTAGGCATGTGGGCATTTCTAAATTGGGAAACAAAGTCATAAGCTGTAGTTTGAAAACGTTTGGCCTCTAGTGGTAAAATTATTGCTGATGAATGCTGTTACTAATTTGAAGAGAGAGTTTATAAAATCATAGGAGATGGTGGGAAAGATACTCTGTCATGGTAACTCCTGACTTACATTGTGCTTCATAATTCACCAGAATATTGTTTGAGAATCTGTAATCCACATCCACCCTTTTTATTCTCTGTTTTATTGGTAATTATTTATTAGCTCGACAGTTATATATCCTCATTTGAATACCGAAAAAAGTTCATATTTCAGACTGGTGAGAGTACTAATGACTTTAGAAACCACTAGTTAAATATGCCAACCATTAACATGAAAATGAGAGTTATTGCAGACACTGTTCGGATCCCATAGCATCCCAAGTCATTTATTGCATTTACTTGTCACACCTCTTTTCCTTAACCTGTAATAGTTTCTTAGTCTTTATGTTTCATACCTTTTACTTTTTTGAAAAGTACATGGCTTTTTTTTTTTAACTCTGATGCCCAGGCTGAAGTGCAGTGACACGTTCTTGGCTACTACAGCCTCAATCTGCTGGGTTCAGGCGATCCTTCCACTTCAGCCTTCCAAGTAGCTGGAACTGCAGGCACACACCATCACACGGGGCTAATTTTTCCGATTTATTGTAGAGATGAGGTCTCGCCAACTTGCCCAGACTGTTCTCGAACCCTGGGTTCAGGCAGTCCTCTCACTTCTGCCTCCCAAAGTGCTGGGATTACAGGCGTGAGTCACCGTGCCCAGCTAGGTACAGGGCTTTTTAAAAAAATCTTTAAACTTATTTTCAGGGAATTCATTTGGCAGAAAGTTTTTCAGTTGGCAGAGGTTTCTCATTTTTATCAGGAGCACCATGGAGATGATGTTGCACTCTCAGCACCTTGTATCAGGAGGTACATGGTAACTGTTTGTCCCATTCCTGATATTATCTTGGCTCAAGTGTTGTCCACGATGTTTGTCACTGTATATAGTTATTATTGCCCACTTTGTAAATAAGTAACCTCTGGAGAAGTACTTTAAGACTCTAAATATCTAGTGTGTCATGCTTTCACCCACTAATTTTAGCATCCATGGATGATTCTGACTTGAATCATTTATCAATAGCATAGTTGCCAAATAGTGATTTTATAATTCCATCATATCTTCTACATTTGTTAGTTGGCATTCTGCTATAGGGTGGAGAATTCCCTTCTTATTTACTTTTTATACCAATGTGAACTTGTAGATTTCCTGTCCCATGAATTGTAATGTATTTTCATCGTGTTTATTTTAATAATCAAATTGTCACGATTACCCAGTGAGAGCACTGTCAAGCTTTTTTTCTCCTGCCACAGCTTTTTATGGCTGATTGACATACAAGAAATTGCACATAACTTCAATTATACAATTTGTAAATTTTTGGCATATGTATACACCTATGAAACCATCAGCACAATTGAAATAATTAATATATCCACTGCCCCACAAAGTTTTTTCACACCCTTTAGTAATCTCTCCTTCCAATTCTTCTCTCCCTAGGCAACCACTGGTCTGCTTTTCATCAGTATACTTTAGTTTGCATTTAGGATGATTTTATGTCAGAAGAACTGTGCAGTATGTACTCATTTGTCTGGCTCCTTTCACTTCGCATAATTATTTTGAGAGTCACCCATTATTACCTATATCAGTAGTTCATTCCTCTTAAGTACCTAGTAGTATTCTATTGTCTCGATATATACAATTTATACAGTCATCTCTTACAGACATTTGGGTTCTTTCTGGGTGTTGACTATTTCAAAGAAAGCTGCTGTGAACATTTATATACAAATTTGTTTGGACTTAATGCTTTCATTTCTTTTGAGTAAGTACCTAAGGAATGAAATGACTGGGTCTTAATGTATGTGTATGTTCTACCTTTTGAAGAACATCTCAAATTATGTTCCAAAGGTTTGTGCATTTTACATTCTCATCAGCAGTGTATGAGAGTTCTAGATATAAGCCATTTGTCAGATTTATATTGTGCAAATGTTTTGTTCCAGCTACTTGGAGGACTGAGGTGGAAGGATCGCTGGAGTCCAGCAGGTCGAGGCTGCGGTGGCCGGGAGCGTGCCACTGCACTCCAGTCTGGGTGACAAGAGGGAGACTCCAATTCAATATATATATATTGAACTTCAACTTTGTTCTTCTTTAATGTTGTTTTGACTATTCTGGGACCTTTACATTTTCATATACATTTTAGAATCAGCTTGTTAATTTAAAAACAGTCTGTTCAGATTTTGATTTAGATTGTGTTGAATCTGTAGATAAATTTGGAGAAAACTGACATCTTCATAATATTGCATCTTACAGTCCTTGAATATAATATATTTTTTCCATATGTTTTAGTCTTCTCTAATTTTTCTCAGTAGTGTTGTCTAGATTTCAGTGTACAGGTCTTATATGTCTCTTACGCATTTATACCTATTTATTTCATATATTTTGATTGGCTTTTTATTTTTAAATTTTGTAGAGATGAGGTCTCACTCTTTTGCCCAAACAGGTTTCAAACTTCTGGTCTCAAGCAGTCCTCCTGCCTTAGCCCTCCAAAGTACTGGGATTAGATGGGTTAATTTTTAAAAAAATTTAATGTCTTCATTGTGGTTTGAGAACTTCCTTATTTTCTGGCTTTGCAAGAGACCCCAAGCCAATTTGCATTTTCCTTGCCCCAACCCTGAAATGAACTACCTCTTCAAGAAGCACTGGTTTCTTTTAGTAGTGAATAGTGGTAGAAACCAAGATCCAGGTGCTGGGTGTGCTTATCGCTACTGGAACCTCATTACTTTTACGCTCTTTCAGCAGAGAACTAGGAAGCATGTATGTGTGTACATTTGTCTCTTTCTCCAAATATATTACCTGTGCATACAGCATGTATATAAACATATACAATACACATATACCCTATATGCTCATATGCATATGTACACATACTATTTGCATACATGCACACAGGCACACAGAGAGATAAGCATGTCTATATTTCTGTATCTCTTTATATAGACAAACCATGAGTTAATTAATACTAACATCTTCTGTTCCAGCCCAACTCCAAGGTTGAACTTGCAGCTTTCTACCTTTCCATATTTCTAATGACTCTTTTCCGACAGTGAGAAACCTGACTCTCACTCTCTACAGTATATTTACTTTACCTGGCTCTAGAACATGCATTCAGTAGTTTTAATATTGCTAAATCCTAACACTGTGGAAAACAAACCTACTCACTAGGATTTAGTATTTGTTTATAGTTCTTTTAGCCTGAAGGTATATAGTCAAAGTACTTTGTTTAGACTTACTTGAATCAGGTTTTTTTTTCTCCCTTAGTGTGTTATTAATTTGAAATACAATTAAGTTTATATTTTTCCGTTTGTATTCCAATTTGGGTTCTTTTTTTTTTTTTTTTGTCGAGTCGGTGTCTCACTCATGGCCACTGCAGCCTCAACCTGCTGGGCTCAGGTGATCCTTCCACCTCAGCCTTCCAAATAGCTGGAACCACAGGTATGTGCCACCACACCCAGCTAATTGTTTGATTTCTTGTAGAGTCAAGGTCTTGCCAAGTTGCCCTGGTTGGTCTTGAACCCATGAGTTCAGGCATTCCCCTTCCCTCAGCCCGAAGTGCTGAAATTACAGGTGTGAGCCACCACACCTGACTTTGGGATCTCTTTGCTTTACTATATGAAACAGCATTTTTCTAAAAATCAGTCTACACAAAAAGTGTATACTCAGAAGTGCCACTCTCTCACCCCCAGTCCTTTTTAGTCTGTGTTTTTTTCAGAGAAATAATTAGACACATGTATATTTTCTTATATCTCTTTCTTTCTTACATGAAAAACAGAATGTTTTAGATATTCTTTTGCACTTTGTTTTGTTTCACATAATGTATTCTGGAAATCACTCAATTTTGGTTCTTAGAGATCTTCCTCATTCACTGTATTTTTAGAGACTGGATCCCATTCTGTTGCCCAGGCTGGAGTGCAGTGGTGCAATTATAGCTCACTATAACCTTGAACTCCTGGTCTTAAGCCATCTTCCCACCTAGCCTCCCAAGTAGCTAGGACCATAGGTACACACCACCTCACTTGGCTAATTTTTGTGGTTTTTGTAGAGGTAGAGTCTTGCTGTGTTGCCCAGGTGGTCTTGGATTCCTAACCTCAAGTGATCCTCTAGCCTTGGCCTCTCCAAGTGCTGGGATTACAGGCATGAAACACTACACCTAGTCCCTTTCATTTTTACGGCTGTGGACTCTCTTGTGTGGGTGTCCATTGTTTCTTCAGTCACTCATCAGCATTTGGGCACTTAGATTATTTTTGATATTTCACAATTGCTATTAATGCTTCAAATTTTTCATTTGTATTTTCTTATTTCAGAGGTGTATCTTCAGGATAAAATTTTTGAAGTTGACTAGTTGACTGCTATGCTAAAAAGTTAATGTATATACATTTTTTTAGATTTTGCCAAATTCCTGTCCAAAAGTGTTGTACTGATTTCCATTCCTGCTATCAGTGTTTGAGAGTTTCCTATCCCACAGCCTTGCTAATGGAATATATTAATATGTTGACACACTTTCATTTTTTCATCAGATAGGTGAAAAATGGTATCTCAATATAACTTTATTATGCGTGTCTCTTTGTGTGAGATTGAACATTTTTTCGAGTTAAATCATTTTGTGAATTATCTGTGCATATCTTTTGCCTGTTTTTCCAGTGGATTTTTGGTCGAAATCTTGTTCTCGGTTTTTTGTTTTTTGTTTTGTTTTCTTGTTTTTAGTCAGATTCTCACTCTGTCATCCAGGCTGGAGTGCAGTGGCTTGCTCACAGCGACCCCAGCATCGACCTGCTGGGCTCCAGTGATCCTTTCGCCTCAGCCTTCCAAGTAACTGGAACTACAGACACACACCACTGCGCCTGGCTAATTTTTCAATATGTTGTAGAGACAAGGTCTCACCAAGTTGTCCAGGCTGATCTCGAACTCCTGGGCTCAGGCAATCCTCTTGCCTTGGCCTCCCAAAGTGCTGGGATTACAGGCTTGAGCCACCATGCCCGGCCTTGTCCTCGGTTTTTAATAGTTCTTTATAAGTATGAGATATTAGCTCTTTTATATAGTATGTTATTTATTTGTTTTTTTATCTAGTTATGTTGTTTGTCTGTAATATATGTTCCAAATATTTTTTTCCAGTTTTTCATTGTCTTTGACTTTGTAACATGCATTTATGGGGTCAAATTTATTCTTATTTACTATTGCTTTTGGACTTTGTGGCACGCTACACCCAGGTTATTTTCTAATATGTGTATGGTTTCATTTTACATATTTAGAGTTTTTTATTCTGTGTAAGGTAGGGATCTTATTTTATCCTTTTTCAAATAGCTACCCAGTTTTCCTAGCACTATTTTTTAAAAACACCTTTTTTCCTTCAGTAATTTGAGTTGGTGCCCTTATTATATACTAAATTGTCATGTGTATTTTTGTCTGTTTCTGGACTTTCTGGTCCACTGGTCTCTTTGTTCATATATCAGTATCACGCTTTTTAAAGTTTAAGTAAAGGCTTGTGTATGTTATAATGTATATAGTGGTGCATTTAGTCTCTGCATATACCTATTATCGTTCAGTGTTTCCTCTACTCTTTGTGTATGTTTTTTCATTTGAATTTTATAATTAATTTTTCTAGATTTATAAAAGTATTATTGGTAAATTTAGTGGGATTGTCTAAAATTTATAAATTTAAATAGATCTGACATATTTATGATATTGAGTCAGCCTATCCAAGAACAAAGGATGTCTTTCTGTTTGTTCAAGTCTATTTTTACTTTAATAGTTTTCAGATTTTTAAAGATATATTTTTTGTTTTGGTTCATCTTAATTTTTATTGTAGCAATATAGAAATTAGTGTGTGTGTTTTTAATGTTTTCTTGTGAAATAATGTTCTGTGATAGAGCAAGCATAAACCAAATACATAGGAACTATTAAGTAGGACTTATAGTTTGTTATTTTGTGGTGTTTTTTGTTTTAATTGAAATGTACATTGTAGTTATTTATATATATACACACACACACACACACACACACACACATATATATGTGTATATATATGGCCTTTGTCTTCTATGAGTTTCTTGAAGGCAATAGTTATGCTTTATTTACCTTATCCTGAGGATGTACATTGTATTTGGCAAATAACCAATGTTTGAGTATTTCTTGAATTGATTTTACATGGACAAAACGCCACACTTTGTGGAGGCTAAGTTTGGACTAAGCTTTGGTTATTCTTGAATGTTCTTGTTCATGTTCCTTATTCATAATATGGCATGGCAAGAGATGTGCACTCTCAGTATATCTGTTCCACTTTATCATTTACAACAAAATTCCACGGTTTGTATTTACTATATGTTGAGGGAATCTTTCATTATTGCAAGGAAATATGTTCCATTATAGTTGGCTTTTTTTTAGTTGGAGTTTCACTTTGTCACCTAGGAGTGTAGTGGCACAAAATGGCTCACTGCAGCCTCTACCTCCCGGGCTCACAGGTGATCCTTCCACCTCAGCTTCTCAAGTAGCTGGGACTACAGGCATGCAATGCCACGCCCAGCTAATTTTTTTAAAAAACTTTTTGTAGAGATGAGGTCTTGCTATGTTGCCCAGGCTGGTCTCAAACTCCTGGGCTCAAGTGATCCTCCCATTTAGGTCTCCCAAAGTGCTGGGATTATAGGTGTGAGCCACCGTGCGTGGCCCTATTATAGCTATTTTTAAAAGATCCTTTTGAAAATGATTAAAATACAGAGTATTCATACTTACCATCATTTTCTTTCTTGGGGGTTAATGGTGTTACACTCTCATCTTTTTGTAATTGAAGACTTTTCTTGTCAGGTATTACTACAGTTTCCTTTTTCTGGCAGAAAAATAAAAGTCTGTTATCCAGTGCGATTAATTCTAAATTTGACTGTAAAACCAAGGGATCACAGACAACACTACCTTCTCAAGTTACAGATAATGGCATTTCTTTTGTGCTCCAGTAGGATTTCATACATATTTCATTTCATCAATCATTCAGTTTTATTTTATTTTTATTATTTTATTATTTTGAGTTGGGATCTCATTCCACCACCCAGGCTGGAGTACAGAGGCATGATCATGACTCAACACAATCTCAACCACTTGGGCTTAGGCCATCCTTCCTTCTCTGCTTTCCAGGTAACTAGGACTCCAGGCGCTCACCACCACTCCAGACTCATTTTTTTTTGAGTTTTAATCTCTGTTGCTCAGGCTGGAGTGCAGTGGCATGCTCATGGCCACCCCAGTGTCAACCTTCTGGGCCCCAGCAATCCTTCTGCCTCAGCCTTCCAAGTAGCCGAAACTACAGGTGTGCACTACCACGCCTGACTATTTTTTTCATTAATTATAGAGACGAGGTCTCACCAAGTTGCCCAGGCTGGCCTTGAACCCCTGGACTCAAGCAAACCTCTCACCTCGGCCTCCCAAAGTGCTGGGATTACAGGTGTGAGCCACTGTGCCCAGCCCAAGTTTTTTTTTGTTTTTTTAGTTGGAATCTCATTCTGTCACCCAGACTGGCTGGCAGTGGCACGCTCACAGCCACCCCAGCATGAACTGCTGGGCTCCAGCAATCCTTCTGCCTCAGCCTTCCAAGTAACTGAAAGTACAGGCACACGCTACCATACCCAGCTAATTTTTTGATTTATTGTAGAGATGAGGTCTCGCCAAGTTGCCCAGACTGGTCTTGAACCCACGCGCTCAGGCAGTCCTCTTACTTCGGCCTCCCAAAGTGCTGGAATTTTAGGCATGAACCACTGTGTCCGGCCTAAATTTTAATATAAATATTTGTTTAGCTTGTTTCTCTTCTAGACTGTGAACTGCTTGAGTAAAAGAACCAAGTCTTTTTGTTTTATATCTCCAGTGACTGAACTCAGTGCTTAGTAAATGTTGAGAATGTTAAAATTGCAGTTGGGAGCTAAGAGAGAATTCTCTGAGCTAGAATGAAAGTTTTTTTGAGGTGAAATATGCTATATGGTTCTTGTCTGAAATGAGTTCCTTGTTCGAATACTACCGTTTTGAGCAGGACTAGAGCTCCAGCCATGCCACGTGTGTTGAGGACTGATTAAAGTCTTTTGGTCTCTTCCCAGGGTGGCCTTTTAGTTACGTATATGCCTTTGCCCTTGGAGCCCCCCCCTTTTTTTTTTTTTTTTTGAGTTGGAGTCTCACTCTGTCACCCAGACTGGAGTGCAGTGGCCGCTCCCGGCCACCACAGCCTCGACCTGCTGGGCTCTGAGGATCCTTCAGCCTCAGCCTTCCGAGTAGCTGGAACTACAGGCGCGCGCTACCACACCCGGCTGATTTTTTTTTTTTTTTTTTTTTTTGATTTATTGTAGAGATGAGGTCTAGCCAAGTTGCCCAGGCGGGTCTTAAACCTGCAGGCTCAGGCAGTTCACTCACCTCGGCCTCCCAAAGGGAGGGCTGAGCCACCAAGCCTGGCTGGAGCCCTTTTATTCTATGCTACTCATCCCACTCGGGCCACTGTGTACGCACTCTGGTGTAATCGGGGTCGATATAATCCGCTTTCTTTCCTTTTCTCCGAGTATATATTCTGCCATTAGATGACGGTGTACTATGTGGGATCCTATTCTTTCTGCCCTTCGTAACGCCTGGCATTAGTCTCAGTTTTGACTCCTGACTGCCCTGAGCCTTCATTCTCCCCTCTATGTGCTGGTTGAACAGCTTCCTTCCACTTTGCATTTGTGCACCAAGTCCTGTTGAATTCCGCACTCTTCCACAGATATTTTTAGTCCCTGCATTTATATTAAAATAGATAAATTTACAAAACCTTGTACAGAGGGCCAGATGTGATGACTCACGCCTGTAATCCCAGCACTTTGGGAGGCCAGTGTGGGAGGATCACTGCACTCCAGCCTGGGCAACAGAGTAGGACCCTGTCTCTAAAAATCAAAGTACAATAATGTCCTGTAAAGAGAAGAAGCAAAGAAAAAATCATCTCTAAAGTTATAAACTTTTAGGGACCAGGGAATTTTGAAACTGTTTTTGATAGGTTCAAATTATCCAGGTGACCTAATAAATTATGTTATGATGGGCTTCTTTTTTTTCTTTTAACTTGAAGCTTTGACTGCTGAACTTGAAGTGATGAAGCGATAACTATTTTTTTTGTTTTAATAATGGAAAAATATAATGCTAGCATATTAATTAACTTCCTTGAAAGAAATAAGCTACAGTGTTAATATTTGCTCATTGTGTGCCCCCGAAAAAAGAAGAGAAATAGCAAGTATAACTGGTTAATCTTAAAATCTTATCTGTCTAATTTATAGTTTAAAAGAACTTCTAAAGTGCTCGATATTGTTACTTGTTTGGCTGAATTTCTCATTTTGTGTGTGTGTGTGTGTGTGTGTGTGTGTGTGTGTGTGTGTGTGTGTCACACACAATTGGCAGCAGATACTTATGTGCTGTGTTAACCTTTTCCTTACCCAACATTCATTTGTGTGTGCCAAGAAAACCACAAGAAGGCCGGGTGCAGTGGCTCAAGCCTGTAATCCCAGCACTTTGAGAGGCTGAGGTGAGAGGATTGCCTGAGTCCATGAGTTCGAGAACAGCCTGGGCAACTTGGTGAGACCTCATCTCAACAATAAATCAAAACTGTTAAACTGATTTAGAAAGAAATCCCTATATTAAGTAGTTTTTCTGTTTTTGGTACTGTGTGTAGTTGACATATAAATTTTTGTGAAATGCTATAGATATAAAAATAATCAGTAATCTTTATTTCCTTAAATAGTTTTTTCTATATCGCTAACCTTAAGCTGATAATTCATTTTTATTTCTCCTAATATACATTTCTCCTATTTTATTTTTGAGGCAATATGATATGCAAATATAGGACATTGTGTAACATTACTTAGCATATAAATTGCAGCTGACCAGGGATCATCTTAGTCTAGTTTCCCTTGCATTTTATTTTTTGGTTACTATAGATACTGTTTGGTTACCATAGGTACTATTTATTAATTTGGGAGGCATCGTACTCTAAAAATATAATCTTAGGGGCCATTATTATGAATTACTTTGAAGCATTCAAAGTGCTTTTTCTTCCCCCTTATCTTTTCAGACACATCAGGAAAAACAAAAACATGCATTTAAATGAGCACTATTTTAGAAGCTAAATTTATAGTAGAAATAAAGTACCTTAATATTTTTTCCATCCAGGTATTTTTCCTCATAATCTTGACTAAATATGGTATCTTCAAAATTATCTGTTCCATAATCATAGATAATGCGTGAGTCCTGCTGAGTTGGTGGTGCTGGCTTTATCAGAGGAACAAACAGTAATAGCAGAAGTGTAGACTGCAGAATCTTCATTTTGGCAAAAATCAAGGTGACTGGAAGTTAATAAACTAGTGTCCTGCTGACTGTGGGACAAAACTCTTTTTTCCCTGGAAATAAAAATGCAGACTATCGAAGCAATATTTAAAAGCTTAGAAGACGTTTTTGGCAGAGTGAACAGAGTAGGGGCCAGAGAACAAGTATTTAACCCTTAGTGATCTTTAATTAGATGCTCACAGTTTGTGAATCAGTGAAAATTCTGAAAAAATTGTTTCAGAAAATAGTTTCATTTCTTCTCTGTCAAACATCAAGAAATGCTGATAATTTAAGTTTAATTAAATAGTTAAATTCTTTGAACAGAGGTACTGGTATGCAATTGAAATCTTAAGTTTACCTGTAGTATAAATAGTTAAAATAAAGACTCAAGATCCTGTCTCACGTGAGTTCAAAATATCACATTTCAACCTTGCTACTTTATTAGAACTCTTGATTTGTATTAGTGTGAACAGAAACAAGTTCCAAGAAATGTTTCAAAACCTAAATATTACATTTAGCATTATGGAAAGTAGTCATTAACACTTAACTTTAGGTGACACAGAACATAGGAAAAGCCATACGTCTTTAATTTTCTTAGTTTGTATCACTATTTTTAGTTAATAGTATTGTTTTTTATAAAGTTAAACTATGAAAATTGAAAAAGATTACTTTGCAGTCTAGAGGAAATATAGAACTTTAATCAAGGAACTTTGAGGATTGTAATGGAAAGAATTCTTTTAGGATCATCAGTGGATTTTATCTAGTGGGTGCACGTTTCAGACTTTTTAAAAATAACTTCAAACAGAATCACTCGGAGTTGCTGATACTGCATTACAGATGCCAATTTGTCTAAAATCTGGTGGTTGAAAATGAAGAATAAAATGAGTTTGTGACTTTTGCAGCCTTCATGGATATTAAAGTTATACATGATATACATAAGTACTTGTTAAAAAGTAATTGTTCGAGATAACTGAAACTTAGAGAAATTAGAGATGGCCTGAACATTTATTAAGGCTGTTAGTTATTTAAAATAATATGCGAAAAACAAGCCTACCGTTATAGCTGTTTTGAAGTTTTTTGTGGTTTTCCTCAATAGATGTTCATGCCTGTGCATTAGCCCCAAGTGGGAGGGTGAATGAGGAAAGCTGTGGATTGATTTCAGACTGTTGAATAAAATTTCAGGGCCCAACAGTTTTAAGAGCAGTTTCCATGTGGCAGAGATCTTTGCCAACATTCTTTCTCCAGGGTGAAATGCAGTGTGCTGTACAAAAGAACTGTGCTTGAGATGTTTGTAACTGCTGCACTCAGTCTGCTTCAAGTAATTGTCTATAAACGTGTCATTTAGTTATTGTGTAATAAATGCTAACGTTTTAGTGAATATTAAGTTATGAAAATGATGTAGTTATAAACTCATGCTTTTCATTTTGATTTCCCAGGAGGTAAAACATCTGCTTTTTTAATGTAATAGATTACCAAGCAAAAGCATAGTCTGTGCTCTTAGTTTTATGAGGATTAAAATATTGTCCTAGCCGGGCTCGGTGGCTCAGCCTGTAATCCCACGACTTTGGGAGGCTGAGGTGAGTGGATTGCCTGAGCCCGCGGGTTCGAGACCCGCCTGCTCAGCGAGACCTCATCTCTACAGTAAATCAAAAAATCAGCCGGGCGTGGTAGCGCTTGCCTGTAATTCCGGCTACTCGGAAGGCTGAGGTGGAAGGATCGCTGGAGCCCAGCAGGCGAGGCTGCGGTGGCCAGGAGTGGCCACTGCACTCCAGTCTGGGTGACCAAGTGAGACTCCAACTCAAAAAAAAAAAAAAATATTGTCTTAATATTATAATTAATATTTGTCAAGAAATTTCTGATGTAACAATTAGCTTTAGCACAAATTATTTTATAGTTTTGTTATTTGGGGTTATTTCTCCCCCTTATTTTAGTTGCATATAACAAAAAATCAAAGCATGAGAATTAGTTTTTTAAAAATACATATGAATTTGATTTATAATTTTGGGGGTTGGTAGTAAAAGATACTTTTGCTGACTGATGGAAACTTTGAAAAAAATATTTTAATATTAAACTTGATTTTAAAAAGTTAAAGTGGGGCAACCCCCTTGATCCCCTCCCCCTCTGAGAGCTTTTCTGTCCTTTCAATAAATCCTGCTTTCCCACTTAAAAAAAAAAATTGAAGTAGTATTGTAAGATACTAAAAATACAATGAAACTTTTTTTAAGTCTTTGAAATATGTAATAATCAAATAGCAGACATTGTTCTACATTCTGTGGCAAGTTAACAAATAAGTTGGATAGATATGTTCAAATTTAGAGACATAGAGATTCATGATTTCACTAATAATATGGTTCAATTCTTTATCCTACAGAAAATTATTTTGTGGATTATAACGTTTCCTTGAAAAGTTATGACTAATTAGATACAATTTTATTAGCATTCATTCATTTAATAAAAGTTTATTGAGCACCAGTTCTCTGCCAGAACTACAGACAGGTAGGAAAGCAAAATGCAGTTTCTCCCTCCAAGGAATTTTTGTAGTGCCTATGTCTATAGGAAAGGCAGCAAGCAAGAAACTAGAATGCACGATGGGGCTCGCTGCAGGTTCTGTGATAACCTGAGAGAGGCCACAAACCTTGATGGGGTGAGGACAAGGAGGCTGCACCCACGCTGACTTTTACGGAGAGTACAGGAAAGGAGGGTACGGGCAAGTGGCGAACTGTTCTAGGCAAGGGCAGCATCACACAGGCAGGGGGGCGGGGGTCAACCATCCAGACAATGTGTAATTTTGCATGTAGCTGGAGCTTGGAGGGTGAGAGAGAGGAGGTGAGGGGCGTGGACTGTATTAAGAGATGTGATCAGATAGGGGCATAGAGATTAGATTAAGGAGAGTCTTTTGTATCTCTCTGAGGTGTTTGGGCTGTAGTCTATAGTCAGTGAGAGACCACTGAGAATTTTTTTTTAAGTTGGAGTCTCACTTCGTCGCCCAGGCTGGAGTGCAGTGGCACACTCAGGGCCACCCCAGCATCCACCTGCTGGGCTCTGGTGATCCTTCCGCCTCAGCCTTCCGAGTAGCTGGAACTACTGGCATGTGCTAATTTTTATTTAATTTAATTTAACGTAATTTATTTTATTGTAGAGAATGAGGTCTTGCCAAGTTGCCCGGGTTGGTCTCCAACCCGTGGACTCAGGCAATCCGCTCGTCTCCGCCTCCCAAAGTGCTGGGATTATAGGCTGAGCCACCGAGCCCAGCCTGTCCACTTTTTAATGGGGCTGTTTGTTTAGGAATTCAAATCATTCTACAAAAAAGATACCTCCACACGCATGTTTATTGCAGCATTTTTCACAATAGCAAAAATGTGGAACCAACCATGCTGCCCATTGAAAGTAGACTGGATTAAAAAAAAAGTGATACATTTACATGATGGAGTATTATGCAGCCGTAAAGGAGGACAGGATTATGGACTTCACAGCAACCTGGATAGATTTAGAGTCTGTAATACTCAATGATCTATCACAGAAACAAAGAACTGAGTACCACATG